ATGCATTTATTCAGCATTTCTTCCTCTCACAAGAAACAAAACAAACACTCTCTTGTTGATAATTTACATAAAAATTGAAATAAAAAATAAATATAAGCTACAAATAGAGCAGTTTTTCGAAGTATAAAACATAAAATGAATAGAAATATACTTTGAACATGAAATAAGGCATAGAAAAACATTAATATATCCAAAATAAACTATATATCCAGCTGTTCTACAATCTCTACTTTTAAAAAATAAAATAGATATACTTATTTACATAAAAAATATCCCAATTTTTTTCGTTAAGCCTTATCGTTTCAACTTAATTATATGAGTTTGGAGATCACAAATTTAATCAAAATTCAATTAATTGCACAGTCTTACCACAGGCTTAACCATCCTCCTCAGAAAAATACAGAGTGGTATCGGATCGGTTTGGTCTGAACACTCGTCGATACCGATACATAAAAAAAGTGTAGTATCGGAGCTTTTGCAGATACCAGCATCGGTACTGAAACAACCCTAATCTCAAGATTCTGAGATGAGACACAATCAGTTCCAGATTTGGTTTTTTTTTATGTGCATTTTTCAACTCCTTTTCTCTTTTCCCGAGTTCTCGAGGTCCACGTGAACACGGCAAAAGTTGATCGTGCCCAAGATTTCATTTACACATTCATTGATAAATCGCATTTTCAGATTTAGGTCAACATTTGGGCCGGCGTAGACTCGGACGTGGACTTGGGGCTTTGTGTATTGTTCAGATGAGACAATGTGCAGACTCATGTTTCAGAGCGAGCTTACATCAGCACACAATAATGAATGATGTCACGAACTCTGCACTACTTTCCCTTTATTGTCCTTCGTCCGCTGCAGTTCAATAATCACCACAATATGCATTTAATACACGCTGCACGTCAACAGTTTGGTTTCATTTTATGCTTTTTTTCCATTTATTTTCCTATTTATAATGTAGATTCTCAAGGTAGACATCAAAACTATGAATGAACTTATATGAAATGTAGTAAATGACAAAAAAAAAAAGTCTTCAAAATCGCCGTTATCCTTTGCTTTGACCACTGCTTTGCACACTCTTGGTATTCCGCCAGTGAACGAACCCGGACGTGGCACAGCAGTGAAGTGAAAAACATTTCGTTGAAGCGCGTTGAAAGAAGGTCAAGGGTTTGCAACGCCGTCGACAAAGCAAAGGGTCGATCTAAACCTCAAACGTAACATTTATAGAGAATTTAAGACGTTTTTAAAGCTTGAAATCCATCAGTCCATCTCTAATCTAAGAACCGGAAACAACAGACTGTCAAAAATTGTGGGACGGTTTAAGAACATTGAAATACATTTTTGTAATCTCTGCACAGGTAATAACACTGGCTACGAATTTCACATATTTTTCACATACTCGAAAAGTGAAATTGTTGAAAGTATAGGGAAGTATCTGCCTAAATATTATGTTGTACACCCTTCAATAGAAATGATAGAAATGGGACGAGACAATTTCCACAAGACGAGACGAGATACGAGATTGGGTACAAAATAATGAGAAATGATGAGATTTTAACATAATTCCTAAAACATACATTTTGCGATTCCGTTTCCAATTGTGGCTTCATAATTTTTTATTTATTTGATTTCATATTGTTAAGATGAAGAACATGTAACCCTTTTTGTCCAATCCAAATGTAAACACTTGGATTGGGGCTTTTTTGGGGGGGGGGGTAACAAATTGGGGGCTCGTCCGGGATTGTAATACCCATTCCCACCTCAATAAATTGATAATGATTAATAGGTTTGTATATTAGGTAAGTTTTTCAATTGGGTTTTTTGAAATTTTGAATTTGGTGATTGGGTGGTGGAAGATTGCCAGTGTTGCATGTAGCTGTTGTTTTGAAGGCTGTTGTATGTGCAAAATTGTGCCTTGTCCTGAGTTACAGCAGATGAGGTTGGTGGACGGCCTGATCAACTGGACATACTTCCTCGTCCTATGTTCCTATTGCCTCCCAGATTCCCCAGCTCCAGAGATGGGAATCGGTACTCGGCGTACCGGGCCGGTCTCAATGGAGGCTGAGGGTAAGGGTGGTGGCACTTGTATCTGGCCTACTTAGAACCAGCTCTGACACTGCAATGTTGTTACGACCCAGCTCGTTTGGGGTGAGGGAAGTAACAAAAATAAAACCAAGATGTAAAATGGAATAAATTAAATAATGTTTAATTAACAGGAATGTAAAGGTAAATTAACAAAAGACTAAAAATATACAGAAAACAACCTAAACTAAGAAACAGAACAACAGAATAAACAGAGTTTTGTGCCACAAAAGGGGTCACGCAGGCTTACACAAAAACGAGTGGTAAAACTTAGGGACACACACTAAACTAAAACACAAGTTCCCCAAATTAAACCACATAAACCCACAAACAGAATCGAGTGACCAAATCAAAAAAGGCACAAAACAGAACTAAACTAAACTACACACACACGAAACAAAATGGCAGACTGGCCACCAAGGCCAGCAGCCCCGAACAGGTGCTGGTAATCTCCTTAAATAGGGGGAGGTGGCTGCAGGTGAGGTGGGCGTGGACTTGCCCCACCAATCACAGACCAGGGCTCGTGCAGCAGGAATCAAGAGAACTCTGCAGAAATATTACAACTAAGGCCTGGGGCCGTGACAAAAACCTCAAGATATTGTGGCACGAGATCTTCAATTCCACCCTTCAACGCACAAATTTGTTTCGTCTTTGCAAAATGAAAGTACCAGAATAATTTGTAAAGTCTGCGCCTTTTTTACATTATTAAAGTAAGGTATTTCTTTGCTTCATATCATGGATAATGGACATGAGCAGTAAAAACAATGAATGAATCAATGGATGAAATAAACTAAAATAATAAGCATTTCTAAATCCTAAATATAAAATCACCACAGAGTTATCTTGCTTCATATTTCATATTTGATGTCTTCAGTGTGTATCTGTATTGTCCCAATGTACAGGACAACCCTTGGTCAGTCCTCTTTTTCTGCCAAAGGGGGATTTATTGGAAAGAAATAGCAACAAATTTGAAAGTAAATTAAAATTATTGCATGATTCCAACCAAAAATGCCCTCAGTGAAAATGTAATAATGCCATATATTTCTAATCTGTATGTAACTATGGTGTCTTGTCTTGTTTTTCCTTAATGTCCTTAATTTAATGTTATTTATGTCCTTAATAGACATAAATAAATACAAAATCTACCATGAAGACAATAGTAAACAATAAAAAAGAGAAACACTGAGAAGGTGTGTCGAAACTTTTGATGGTAGCGTATATTTCTGCCAAAAGATACCCAGGAACGTAATGAAATTCTACTCTGATTCAACATTCATTTTACAGCCCTGAGATGAGATAGAAGTAGACCCGAAGTGCCGGTCTTAACATGAAGTGTGAGGGCGATAAAATGGTCTCACATGGTTCTTAAGATACCGGCTTTGAGAACGCGTTTCAGCACTGCCTGGAGGTGTGAATGTGGACTTCATGGCCTGGAACGTAACTCTGTTTTTAGCTCTATTCGCACAGGGTTAGTATTACCTGTGGACCTTTGGTGATTTGTAATAACTGCGGATTTTGTCATTTGTAAAGTAAAAATTCCGCCGCAAATTACCTACTATATTTCGCCAAACACAAACGTCCGGTTGTAATACTGTCCCGTGCGAATCTGCATCTCAGTGTTTGCTGTAATTGCGTCTCTTTCTTTTCTTTCTGCATTCTTTTCTCTGTCAATGTCAGAACAATAGAGTAATTTACTGACTTTGTTTATCCCGTGCGAATGCGCTGCAAGTAACACAGAGGTGGGGCAGTAATTTGCCAATTACCAGATGTCCACAGGTTGTACTTATCCCGTGCGAATAGGGCTTTTTGTTAAACTGTGCATTTAGATCTCAAATGGTCTTAAAATATTTCGGTTGACTTTGATAGTGCAGATTGTGACAAAATATTTCTAAAAACTGTCTAATTTTTCCATGTTTGACATTGATAAATTTTCAAGTTTCAAGTTTTATTAGTTTTGTTCACATTCACACTCATTAGTACTCAACTGAACTTAAATTTTTTGACTAGTGGCAGATATTGGCAGGTAAACTAGTACGTATTCGAGTCGTTTTCGTTGAGGATGCAGTGTTCGTCCACACTAATCCGATGGAAAACGGCTCCAGAGACGGAACAATCTGGTGCCACCAGCTCCCACGAATTCATCTGAGTACGAATCTGATCCGGCACGGTGTGGACGCCTGAAAACGCTGATACACTGACATAGGAGGTCTAGTTGCCGTCCTTATTGGACCACGTCACTGCGATTTGCTCCTCCCTGATTCGCTGAGTTCGGTCATGTGACGCTATTGTGGAAAACAGTTTAAACAAACCAGAGACAAACGGGAAACAGAGAAGAACTACTTGCACAGAACAGACTCACCATCAGCAGAACACCCCTTTGTCACAGAAAGAACACATATATTCTACTCAGTCATGTCCTTTTTAAGTCCGACAGAAGCTAAACCGCGTCAGGGCACAAGGAGTGAGCTGTTTTTGTGAGCACTTACTTTATGCAAATGAGCCATGTGGTTTTAAGTTTTGTTTCTGTAAAAAGTAAACAAATATGCTCAAAGCTGTGTGAATAGGGAAGGTTTGCGGACACAGAAACGACGTGTCTGGACGCAAGTTGTTTCCGATACGGTGATAAGGCGATAAAGTGATTTGTTTCAGTGTAAACGTAACATGAGTTAAAAAAAAAACACATATACAAACCTCTAAGAACAAAAAGGTACATGATACGATTTCAATCTCATCCACCCATGTTCTAATCTAAAGTTTCAGCACCAAAAGTGTCTCGTTTCTGTACAATCTTACAACTGAAGAAGGCTGAATGACCAAAACGTTTCGAGAAAAAAATGAAAACAAACAACGTAATAATATTGTGTATTGTCCAGATTGACCTCATCTGTCTAACGTTCTGTGTAGAGCCTTGTGTTCCTCACCTGATCCTGGGGTGAGCAGTGGCCCCTCAAGCTCCAGGTCGTCCTCCTCCGCCTCCTCTGGCTTTTTCTTCTTTTTCTTGGGGTCCCTCGGCTTACGCAGTAGAGACAGCTCCTCTGGGTGTCGGATATCTGCACAAAGACAGCAATTCCACAAGTTAGAACAGTAGCACGATCTCGTTTTGGTTCATAGAGTAGCTCCTGAGGTGTTTTTGACATTTAGATCTTTGAGTAGACTAGTTTCTACTGACAAAAAACTCAAAAAAAGGACAATTTATCAGACAACAACAAGCCCTTGTGTATAATCTTTAAAAACATTGCGTATATCTGTGGGGAGAGAGCGCCAGACGAAGGCCAGAGCGGGGTAAGACGCACAGACAGATGGGCGGAAAAAGTCCAAACGAAATTCTCGGAGGGCTTCAAATCTTCGGCGTATAATCCAGAGCCGAGACAGGCAGACAGTAGACCTGCTCCAGACCTCCACAGCCCACATACTCAGACACACAACCACTGTCTTAAGAATGGAATTTTTATCTCAGATCTGAGCGAAACATAAATCAGGAACTCGGAGAAATATCGTGGAATGAAGATTTTGGTAGATAATGTTTTAATGTGCCGTTGATTCGAGTTTCGTAACGGTGTTGAGACGCTGCACCTCGTCAAAACGGGGGCTAAACTGGGAATAAAAAAAATCTGGGATAAACCACGACCAAACTAAAGTAAGACTAAAGTAAGATAAGGTAGTAGTGAAATTTGTCTTCTGCATTTGACCCATCCTTCAATGTCAAGAGCAGAGGACCAATCTCCAGATTTTGAGTTAGTCTTGGTCAGGACCTTAGCTGGACGATTTTACATATTGTCCATGTTTTGGGGTTTTTGGAGAACCAGGAGTTGCCTCCAGAACCTTCTTGCTGTGAGGTGAGACTTAACCACTCAACCACCAGGTCATCAGCTACAGGTTTATTAGAAATCAAAGTGACAATGGGAACTACTAGTTGTTGTATCTTAGGGACACAAACCCATTTTTTCTATGATTAAAAAGCTAAAAACTAGTGATGGGTGATTCCAGTGATTTTTGTTTTGATTCGATGTCAAGAAAAGGCAGGTAAGTAGGTGTACGATTCGTTCTTTTGAATTTCAATTAAGAAGAAAAAAACAATCAAATGGGAAAACAGTTCGTTACTTCATTATTCAGTTTTAGTGTCAAAAAAAAAAAAACAAAAAAAAAAAAACAGATTTGGACCTCTATTTCCAATTTTTTATTTCACTGTGCCCATTTCAATGTTGATATTTTATTCTCTCTGGTATATTTGTCGCATATGCATATTTTTAAGTTTCTGGATGTATCAGTGGATGTTATAGGCCATGGCTGCCATCAAGATTAGGGGTGTGCAAAAATATTGAAATATGGATATATCGTATCATTTAATGTGATGATACAGTATCGATATCGTGGGCTGCTGTATCGATATATCGTCAAGAGCATTTTTTGGTATATTTTACTAAATTACTTGGTTACAGAGCTACAGTTTTGCTGCTTGTTCAAAGGAAGGAAACTCGTTTATTCGACACATTTGACATTTTCACTGTTTTTGATTATTAAAATGTTTGTGTTTTATATTAACTTTGTAGAAGAAGTGAAGACTTTTAGTATCACAGCCATGATTTAGCCTTTATTTTTTTATTGAACCGTATTGAATCATTTTGAAATATATCGTATTGAATCGTATCGAATCGTAAAAACACTGTATCGAGATATGTATCATATCGTGGCCTATGTATCGAGGTATGTATCGTATCGGCAGCTTCTTAATGATACCCGGCCCTAATCAAGATCCAAGCTAAATACATCACGGACTTGTTTGGAGAAGGAAAGATAGATGAAGAAATTTCCGCCACACTCAAGCAAAATGGAATTAAGATCTGCACAAAAATGAGTATTCAAAGATTACCTAAGACGGAAAGGATTGGTTACTGATGCTGAGTTGGAAATAGGTGTGATGGGCTCATTTTGTGGATGAACATGTTCTCTTCTTTTAAAGCGATGAGTTTATTTTCGTGTCTTAGAAAGTATTTGTTGAATTCCCTGATGAGAAAGAGACAGCAGTGATGCAACAAACTCTCTTTTGTTCAGTTGACACTTAATTCACTCACGGTGTGCGAAGCAGCAGAACTACAGGGGCACATAAACCAGGGAGAATTAAACATCAAAATTGAAATAGGCACATATGTTCAGTGTTATTTGAAAAAAACTTTAAATTAAATATTGTAAACTATTTTTTTTTGTTTGATTTGATTCGACTGAGATTTCTCACACAATTTGATATCATGACAGTCCTAGTGCTACACTGCAATTTGTGCCAGAGTCATTAGTGTTGTTAGCTTTGTTAGTGTTTAGACTCACTAGTACTTCATTGAACTTTGGATTTTTGAGTAGTGATGTCATCAGGTGGAGTCCTGAATGGCTCCTCTGTGTTTTTAAAATCCATTCACCAATCACATTCAGGTCATTTAAGCGCTCAAATATCTTCCATCAGTTTGAGTTGAGATAAATTTACTTTTACCTTGATTTTATGTTAAACAAACCTGTAAGAACCAAAAAGTACATGGTGGATTTCAAGCCTGACTTCAAAAACAGCCTGTACTCTCATCCTTCCATGTTGCATATGATGAGTCAGTATCTTCTCTAAACTACATCGACTTACAAGGGCTTCACATGGACCGCAGCATAGCTGTGAGTAAATAATGCGGAAAGCATGTACGTCTTTAATGGAGGGAAAGGGACACACGGTGATGACAAAACCAGAGCCACACAGACCCCCGCCCCCTCCACAGCCAGAGGAGCATCCGTCAGCAGCTCCAGCTCTCAGGGCCGTGCAGGGGAGGATTCCTGTGCAGGATGTGGGGCTATGTAGGGGGTGAGACGGCCATTCTGTCAGCAGGAGGATGGATGAAACGAGCTCACATCTGGATAAGCAGCTGGGTTCACTCTGCCAGTGTAATATAAATTAAATATTGCAGTGATATTCGAGGCTTAGTTTTATTATTGCGAAGCCCACATAAGAATGAGATAGGACTTTTGTAATCGACTTGAGAGATGAGGCATTGGGTGGGTGCCATGCTCTGATTGATGTTCTTTGTTTTTCACAGAAAAGACTAACTGGTCCATCCATCCATGCCACATATCCAGATCGTGGAAGACTAGGCATCCCACACACACTCGTTCAGCTTCTCCAGGGGGTACTGATGTGTTCCCAGGCCACAGAAAGACAGGGTCCCTCCAGCGTGTCCTGGGTTTTTCCTGGGGCTTCCTCCCAGAGGGACATGAACATCTCCACAGGAGGCGTAAGGAAGCATCAGAGCAGATGCCTGAGCCTCTACTGCTCCTCTCAACTGTGTGACTGAACTCCTCAGCCTGTCTCTGAGGGAGCGCCCAGCCCTTCTCCAGAAGAAATTTATTTTGACCTGTTGTATCGACCATCATGACTGAGCTCATGACCATAGAAGGGTTAAGAGAAAGAAATGGAAAGTTCCTTCATCAAAATAGTTTGATACAATTTGATTTAATATCTTTATCTGTGTCGTCCATAAAATATAAAATCCACTGTCTCAGAAGTGAACTGCACTGCAGTGTCCATGTTGTACTTTATGTAACAGCTGCTCTGTCACACACTCTAATGACGATTGTCACTGGTGTTCATTGAAATTTTATGAAAAAAAACTTTACTACAATACACATGTGTAGAAGAGTCCTCCACTGTGAGGCCTTGGGCCGGCTCCAGCGCTGACTGCAGGGGTAGCTGAGGGAGAGCGCCTTGGCCCATGGTGAGAAGGCTTGTTTGGTTTGTGTAACTAAAGCAAAGGCATTCCAGCAGTTTTAAGGACTACCAGATGGGCCCCTCTCCTCTCCCGCTCCCTCCTCCTGTGTTACTCTATCCGCGTGCCCTTATACAGCCATGTGAGCGAGAGAGCTGCCTGCTGCTGCTGCCGAGCCCGGGCCAGAGCACACAGACTGGAGAGCAGCCTGCTGTCATAGGCCTGGTCTGGTACACGTCACTACGTCACTGCACAGACAACACTGATGATGTCACTGACAACAAGAGGGATGGGTACTTTAAAGATACATATAAAAATGTGCACTGCTGCAACTCCAACTGCTCCTACTGTCACTTTAATGTTTAAAGTGGCTAAGTGACATTTTACAGCCCTGCATGTATGGCCCAGTCTGAATATTGGGAATAACAAATAAGTGCAGAAGTGGGTGGAGATGTTGGATAGGTGACTCGATACTCAATACTAAGATGCAGATTACTCAATACAAAAACACTTTTTTTAGAATGTCATTTTCAACATTGAATGATAGTACTTTCTTTTATATTACAACACGGCCTCATATCTGTGTAACCTCACTCGTCCAGGTAGATTCCATAGAGACGCACCAGTCTGATACTGGTGTTAATACTGATTTCCAGATATTGGTTCAGTTTGGAATAGTCTAAACATAAAAATTGATGCTATGAGACTATTTATTGGTCATAGTCATCTCAGAATGTTTGAATTTTTATTTATAAATTTGTTCTTTGGTAGACTAATTCATCAGCCGGTTTCATTTCGTGGAAACCGTCTGACCTCCCAGCATTAGGATTCATTCGCTTGACAGTAGGCGGGTACTTTTTTATTTAACCAATCGCTCCATCTCGACTGCTTTGTTACCTCCACCAAGGAGGTTATGTTTTTGCCGGCGTTTGTCTGTCTGTTTGTCTTGTTTGTCTGTTAGCAACATAACTCAAAAAGTTATGGACCGATTTTGATGAAATTTTCAGGATTTGTTGGAAATGTGAAAAGGAAGAACTGATTTCATTTTGGGGGTGATCCGGAAGAAATCCTGGATTCTGGATCACTTTGAAATTTTAGTTAACATTGTGGTAAATGGGGCCAAAAATTTTGTTTCTCCATATCTCGGTTAATTATTGACCAAACCCCATGAAATTTGACTCAGGGATGGACAATGGGATCCTCTTTCATATTCCAAAGGCTGATCCGGATCTGATCCAGAAGACTGATTTTATCGCAATTTATATAAAAAATGGGGGTAGTCCTTGGCGGAGGTCTGCGCTCTCTGAGTGCTTTTC